TGGGAATATGTTGTTTACTCGTCAATCTGGGAACTTTATACTTCAGCAGAAAGCTCAGGGCCTTCATGCAACTTTCCCTTAAGTTTTTAAGAATTGGTGTGAAGTTGTCTGCTATACAGTTCTTTTGAGAACCACAAATATGCAGTCAAGATGTGAACAAAATAAATAAGAATCAAGTCATTGCTTTTATTTCAAGTTGTTTGATCTTTAGACATTTTCATGTGGTCAAGTAACAGTAAACCGTGAATACACTGCTCCCGACAACCCGGGAACATCACACTATGCTACAAACAGTACCAACTACATAATCATCGTAAACATAAAGGCAAAAGAAAATAAAAAATCACTTCGAGGATGGCTTAGAACCGTCCTTTTGATCCTCTTTTGATTGTGTCACAGCCGCGGCTGCCATTGACATGGCAGCTGCTGCCGCCCCCAACTTTGCACCACCAGCTGCTTTCATTGTACCGGCTATTTTAGCAAACACAGCTATCCCACCTACAAGTACAGCCCTCAAGGCAACAGTTGGTTTTACTGCCATTTTCTACCTGTAATTTCAAACACTATAAGAAATTCAGTGACAATAGCTCCAATTTAAATGACAAATAAATGTCAGATTGTAATACATCGTGAATAACTGCCACGAAAAAAAACTGAGCAATAACAACAAAATGAGAACAAACTACATTGCATAGTTCTCTACACTTTATGGATGTGACTGCAACCCCTTTTTAACTCCAGCATAATGCAATTCGGATTATGTTGTAAAATCAGGAACTAAATTGCCTTGACGTATGATTATATCAGAATTATCAGCAGCCATGTAAGGTTGTCCACATTTGGAGATATTTTGTTCATCTATTGGGTTATATGTGACTTAATCTATTCAGGAATATTAAATAAGACTGAAACTACATAGAAATTGAAGAAAAATCTGGCATAGGGCAGACTATTAAAACACCATTTCAAGTTTGGAATGAATTAAATAGCCATGAACTTTCATCGCTTAAGCGATTTACGCAAATCGTTTAAGAGATAAGCTTATAGATAAACCCACATCGCTTAAACAATAAGCTTATATCGCTTAAGCGAATGGTCATTTAGTAAAGAGTTTCAAACTTCATGACTATTTAATTAATTCCAAATTTGAAATGGTATTTTAATTAAATTTCTCCATATATATTATATTCATACTGATATATAACATTCTGCGAGAATCTTCCTGCAATTCTCTGCTGGACTTGAACTTGACCCTCAACATCATAGAGTCACTCAGAAACAACATCATAGACAAAAATATAAGCAGTTTTCTTAAGGGCTCAAACATTTCACAAAATATAGAGCTCGGACCCCCACATAAAATATGATTTTAGCAACCATTATTTAAGTGATTTCATACAAAAATCCTATCCTAGTTATATTTTAATACCAAAAAGGCTTTTCTATCATTCTAATAAGTAATCATCAATATCCACAAGAACAAAATATAGAATAACTTTTATGCTTGTTTTCCCCCCAAATACAACTTGAGAACTCCCTCATATATTTTCCGTATCATGTCTGTCTATCAATCAAGCGACCCACAGGATCTGATATTCAATAATAAACCCATGTTTTCCTCAAGAAGCATTGCCCTTTAATCCATCATACAATCAACATTTCAAGAGTGTGTCCATTGCTTTCAGCATCAATTTCCCCATAAGTTGTGCCCCACAGGCAATCAAAATTACTTCTTCTAAAATGCTAATCAAACAATGCCCAACAACTTTAACACTTGCAAAATAAATCTTATCTTTGCAAATGTTTATATCAGTGAGACGGATGCAAGTACACCTATCCAATCACCACGTGCGTCATGCACGCCACGTGCACTGACATGGCCTGCAAATGAACCCATCCCACTAAAGATTTTCTCCATACTACTTTACTAAGCATTGTCCATGGCCTGCAAATGAACCCATCCCACTAAAGATTTTCTCCATACTGCTTTACTAAGCATTGTCTTCAATTTATAGCCCCACAAAACCATTCCTCATCCACTTCTACACGACTTATGATTTTACAACATCCTTTCCTCTCCATTAAAATACACAGCACCGCTAAAGTTCTGATCCTAATATTCTCACTTCTAGAGAAGACATAACCAAAACCACACAGTAACCAAACATTACCCAAGATCCTAATCAAAACAAAAAATTTAGCGCAAAACAAATTCTGGGTCAGAACAAATTTCCTCTAAACCAAGTTGCTAATTCATTTTCACTCATTTTTCAATTAAAAAAAAAAAAAAAAAGGATCTTTTTTTCTCCTCTTAATCTAAAAATGAATTGGTTTCAACAAACAAACAAGTTACAAAGGGAAACCACCAAAATATATAAACAAATACACACAAAAATAAATTCAATATGCAAATCAAAGCTACTTAGAGAGAGAGAGAGAGAGAAGAAAACAAACCTAACGCAAAAGTTTGATAAGTATTGTCGAAACTATGAATTGGGAAGTCCAAAAGATGAAGTTTTGATAGCGGGTTACTGACTATCCTTCACTCCCGGAACTAAAAATGAGGCTTTTTTGTGGAGAAACGAATATGCTTGAAGGTGTTGAATCTGGTGATGTTTCTCTGTGTGAGGAAAAGCTGTAACCTTTGGGTTGAGTTGATGACAACCGTTGGATTTCAGTGATGATCACAATCATCAAAATCGTAAGGGGAATTCTTTTTAACTCCCCTATATTGTACTAAATTATTTGTCAATCCAATTATTTTGAAATTATTTACTATAATTTCACATAATTTATATGAAATATTAAAGATAAACCAGTTTTCATTAAAATAATGTTTTGTATCTCACATTTACATCCCTAACTTTTGTATATCAAGGGATGCCACGTT